TATATATATATATATATATATATATATATATATATATATATATATATAGGTGGTTTCTCAACGCGTGGCGTCGATATGCGCCCGTTTCTAAGCGTGCTTCGTATTTTTTCTTTTTTTTCTTTTTTCTCTTTTTCCTCTCCGAGATTTAACGCAGACTCGTTGAAACGTAGCGGGTTAGAGGGTGCGTCATGTACACGCTTCTCCATAAACGTCTCGAGCAAACGCATTTAAGGAGTAGAATCGCGTGGAAAAATCGGCTGGCGTTTCTTAAATCGCGAGCATTTTAACGCGATTCCTTTCGAAAACGTTCTCTCGTCACATCTGCCGTTAAAGAAGCGTAGCCGTTCATCGAAAAGAACGAGATCGTTAAAATCCGATGCTTCGATAAAAAATTCTCGATGAATTTTATATCTATTTCACGCACTTTTTTCTTCCCCATCGTTCTCTTCGATTACCCTCGTTACTTTCACGAACAGAGAAAACGAATTCTAACGAATTGTATATTCTCGTAGGAAATGGACTACGTTCGGATTAGAATTTCGCGGAATTTTATTACGAGAACGAAGAATCCAAGGATTCTTCAATTTTTCTCTCCTCTATCGAAAATTTCGCGATCCTTCCTTGCGGAACGATCCACCAATCGAAATCCCTGTGTCGATTCTTCATCGAAATGCACGATGGTGGAAACGGTGGAGCATCGTGTTTCTACCGACACTTTCACAAAATCATGGAAACGGTGGCCATCCACCGTTGGCGTCCACTCCCTGGAGACTGCGGACGTCGAAGATGTATCTATCGCCGCCGCGATTGTTGGACAAATTCCCCGACAATGGTCTCGTTCGTATCGCGGCAAGTTGAATGGTTGAGCGGGCAGAAGGTTGCGCGGCGGAAAAGGGACGGGGCCTGTTCATTCATCAAGCATCGAAATCCCTCGTCATAAAGTTTGACAGGCTCGTATATTGGGGCCGCTCCCGCAAGTACTCGGCCCGACCCGCTCCTCGCGCCCGTTCCTCACTTGGTTTTGATCTATTGTCAGCCGGCAACACTCGCGATAACACATGCAATATCTTGCGCGGCAACTTCGCCAATCCAGCCTGTCAATCACCCCGTCCCGCGCCCATCCGTGTAGAAAGTCTCTGGATTGAAACACGTCACTACGCTTGACGACTCACTCGCCTCGTACGTTGTACGGCTCATTGCCGCCGCGGCCTCGCGTTACCCCGATCGACCGTGAGTTGTCTGTGAAAATTACGAGCGAACGAGGTGTCTGTTAATCGGGGGGAGGAAGGAAATCGAATCGATGTGTTGCGGACAAACTTTGCTCGAATTCGAAATTGTAATTTTAGAGTCGAACAATATTATTATTCGAGATGGTGGCAAGAAACGAAGGGAATCCGTTATTGGTTTTCGATAAGTGGTCGAAAAACGTTTCTGAAGAATATCGATTGGCTGCTAATAAAAAAAAAATCATTATATTCTCGAACGTGTCGAAGAAATCTCCAACCGTTACTACAATGTCTCTACGACTAATCGTGCGTGTCTAATCGAATTCGTATCGTATTGGATCCGTCGATAGAACGAGGATAGAGTCGGATCGGGCTGTTCGAAACGAGAGTCAGAGACCATCGTGTGACACCATAATCGACCGACCACAATTTAATTAATATTAATTATATCACGCGTCAAGATTGTCGAAACGAGCCGCGCCGTCGATGGAATTTCGATCAAGCATTACTTTCGCGCGCACAAAGACGAACGCGACATTCGGCGGACGGATTTCGTCTATCCTCCTCCTCCTCCTCCTCTCCTTCCCATCGATACGCGTGGACCGGCGAGAAGCGTGTCGAAATCGATATCCTCGCGGCGGTCCGCTTGGCAACGATTCGCGGCACAACGGATGAAAATTAATGCCGCGCAGTTCGTCTGCATAATTAATTTACAATCGGGCCCCGTGGCCAGGGCGGGGATAGCATCGACGTTATTTCAAACACGGCTGATTACTCGGCAAAATTGACCGCAAATTTCAATTATTTCGCGATAAACCGGCGCGCACAGCCGCGAGGATTATCCGTGGTGTGCGGCGCGCACTATCCGCGCATTAACGCAATTACGCGAGCGCGCGCTGCTCGCAGAGAGGGATGGGCGAGGAACGGCGGCGTTTTTCGACCGATGCCGATTCCTGCTGCCGCCCACAGGATGGGACCGAGGTCTGCCTTGGAAACCGGTCGAACGAGATTTTCCATTCGATCGTAAATCGCAAAGCTGTGTACACACGCGAGAAGGCCAGGGTTGGTTGCCTGCCCACCACCGCTCCTGATTATCTTTATTACCGTGCACCGGCCCGCGCTCATCCGACGCGATACACCGTTAACATTTGTCTGGATATATGGAATGTGTGTATGGAAATCGGAGGGGGAATAGTCGAACCGAGGGAGGGGTGGATAGTCATCGGTCGTGGATAGTAATCGCTGCTTGGGCTGGCTCTCGCGCTTTCTCCGCTGCTTCGCTCGCTCTCGAGTCTCTCGTCAAACACGTTCGTTTGTTCGTTTCGTAATCTTGATCGATAACGTTATTGTCGTATCGACTCTCGTGATCCGCTTCGATCGTTGATCGTTGCTCGATTGTCGATCGAATGTTGCGTGTCGTTGGGAAGAATGGGACGGATGTGATTTCTGTTGCAGGGGAACATCCGGCTGCGATGCAACACGGAGGAAGTTGCGGCGTCGCGCCCACCATTTTGTCGGCGACCCTTACTCTGGTGATCTCGAAACTGCTAAGGTGAGCGGTATCGTTGTGAATCGTGCGACTTGGAAGCCACGGGCTGGTCGAGCTCGTTTCGTGAACCGGTGAGACGGTGAGGTGCCGGTACGGTGCCGAAAGGAGGAAGAGGAGGAGGAGGAGGAGGTGAAGGAGAAGGGAGGAAGGGTTGATGGTTGTTGTTGAAAGGTAAAAAGCGCGAACGAAAGGAACGCGGCGGTCTCTTTTCCTTTAGGAAAAGCATACGGAAATCACGAGAATTGCGAGAATGGAAACGTGACTGGCGCTGCTGCCAACGCTGCGAAATCATCGGGCTGGTTTTAAATGGGGGGAAGGGGGGGGAGGGAAAGGGATCCTACGGGGTTGGAACAAAGTGCAGTGGATCTGGACGCACAGTGGTGGTGGTGGTGGTGGTGGTGGTGGTGGTGAACGCAGTGACACGGAAGTGGAGCTCGACTTTGCACACGTACGTTTTTACCGTAAATTTTCATTCCACGTCATAAACTGTTCCATACTGTTCTACTGTTTCTTTAGCAATTTTTCATCGGCCATCGTATGGGGAGGGGAGGGATAGAGGGGGTAGGGGAAGGGAGGGATGTGCGCGAGTGAAGGAAGGAGGAAGAAAAAAAAAAGGTTCGTATTTGTATACCTCTGCGAAACTCGGATAAAAAAAAACCGGCAAAAAGGAATTCGATTAAAGGAATCCGAGATGCGAGACTGACTCTTCTAAAGATCGGATGATTGATTGATGCGATCGATGAACGAGTGTGTGTCCGAAGCGTGTTTATCAGAAAGCGGTTTCGAGAAACTAGTGAAACAGCTCGTCTAACGGACTTCTCGAAATCAGAAATTTACGATCCGACGATCGGATTCGAATTAATCGATTAATCGATCCGTTGTTGTGTTCGTGTGTCGAGTACGTAGCGCGTAAATTTCACTGTATATATATATATATATATATATATATATAAGAAAAGAAAAGAAAAGGAAAAAAGAAAGAAGAAGAAGAAGAAGAAGGATCGTTCGTTCGATAAATAGCGATTTCGTCGCGACCTCGTTTGTACAGTGAGAAAACGTGATCGAGAATTATAGGGGAATCGCGGATCTGGGCAACGTATGTACATAAAGGAACTATTTCGATTTCCGTCTCGAACGTTTAAAGTATGAAACTTTCCGTGTTATCGTTGATCACGGGATTAGGTCGGTCGGAGTTTGCCCAGATCCGATTGGTCGGCCTCTGGAATCGCTGTAATTTCGCGAGGACAGTTTTCCGACAGTTTTCAGCCGAGGATTCTTGATCGATATATAGACGGTTTCTTTTTTTCTTCTTCTTCTTCCATCGACGCGTAATTTGTCCTTTTTCTTTTCTTTTCTTTTTCTTTTTTTTTTTTTTTTTTTTTTTTTATTAGGAAGGATAAATTGTCGATTGATATGAGTTAATATCAGTCGCGCTCGATATGTTTGCGTCGGAGAGAGAGAGAATTATTGTTGGTGAACTAGGGACAAAGCGTTGTCGATTCGTTATTGCTCACGATAACTGCTCACTAACTCTGTTCCAGGGAACGTGATTGTTTGATCGGTGCATGTTCTTTTCTTTTTTTTTTTTTCTTTTTCTTTTTCTTCAATGGACAACAATGATTTTCTCGCAAAATTTCGAATCGAAAGTATATTGGCGAACGATCGACTCTCGTCGCTGGTTTAACTGGTCTAATCAAAACGATGCAATCACGCTAATCCGCGAGAAGGAATTTACAAATTTTACCGTACCGCGTAGGAGGAATTACGAATTCTACGAACTGCGATTTAAGCATAGGGCTCGTGTATAGATAAGAATACGAGGATAATGTAAATGTAAACGATTAGTAAGAGTATCGCTAATAGTTAATCCCCGTTGCGCGAACGAGGAAGAAAACGTTCTGTTCCTGTACTCGAGGAATACGGTGATTATAATATCTCTGATAACATCGGGGATAAGGATCATCGAAATTTCGAAGTGACGAGATGAATTTTAAATCGAGATAAAATAATAATTTTCGTTCGAATTTCGGTCGATTCTAAA